CAGGGTCAGTGGCTTCTCCAGACAAGGCTTGGAGTGGTAGTGCTCAGAGTGTTCACTGGGTGAACAAGCAAGGGGAAGGATGATCACCCACATAGATGAACGAACACTGCCCAGTGGCGCTAGTTCAAGGAGTGTTTGTGCCACGCCTGGCTCTGTGCCACCTGCCATCTGACCTGATAGCAACCCTACAAGGCAGGTCCGGTTATTACCCCCATTTCCTAGATGAGGAGACTGAGGCTCAGAGAGGTTAGTGGTTCACTCAAGGGCAAAGAGCCGGGCTTAGGCCCAGGGCCATCTGACTCCAGCATCCCGGGCTCTTACCCACGTGATCTCACCCTACGGAGTTGAGGACAGTGAGCGAGAAGACGCTGTCATGGAGGAACAGGTGGGTGAGTGAATGCTGCCTGCCTGGGCTTTGTGGGAGAGAAGCCCTGTCCAGGAGGGTGTGAGCCACCGCCCGCCAGGCCCTTGGAGCTCAGGGAGAGGGCAGCGCTGTGTCCAGGTGGAAGCCGGGTGGGGTGGGGGTGGAGGGCGGTGAGGGGAAATGAGGGCCTGGGAAATGTGGACTCGTGGGTTTGCAGGCCTCTCCCCGCATACGCTGTAGGTAAGCCGGGTGCTTTTCTGGAACTGCAAAGGGCTCTTGGTTCCAGACTTGAGTGGAGCAGTGGGGGCCGTCTCATGAGCAGGGCGCAGCTCCGGGCTGAGAGCCCGGGTGTGACGTGCCACAATTTGCAAAAGTTCCACTCCCCTGTCTCTCCTGTGTGCAATCATCCCAGTGGCCCTGGGTGCAAAAGGAGTGACTGTGCTCATGGACTGGAGGGGGAAACTGAGGCCAGGGAGGAACCAAGACCTGGCTATGGTCAGACAGCAGTGAGGCAGTGGGAGAGGCCTCCCATCACACTCCAGCTGCTGCGTCCTGAGCTCTGAGTGTCCGGGGCTTTCCTCATCTTTGAAATGGGGGTAGGAGGATGGCAGAGAGTTGGTGGGACCAGGGGCTGGGCGCCTGAGCAGCCACTTGGCCCTGAGGGGAGCCTGGACCCTGGGAGCACAGGCTCCAGGGTTCAGATCCCAGCTTGGCCACGGGACACGGAGCACGTGAGTTCTCTCTGAGCCTCCTTTTCCTCGTCTGCAGCACTGGGAAAACGTTGCCTTTCTTGCAGCGTTTGGGAGTTTGTGGTACGAACCTGTGAGCACTGATCTGAGCACACAGTAGGGGCTCAACACATGTCGGTTGCTCTCCATCCCATCTCCTAGGTTGCTGAGTCTCCCACATTTCTCCTGGATTGGGGACTGGTGTCTTTGTCGAAGGTTAGGGGCTGGGAGGGTGTGAGGCAGGCTGTGCGACCGGGGCTAGCTCTCGCCTTTGGGAGCCTCGGGTTTTCACCTGGTGAATGGGGACAGAATCATCTCCCTCCCCCTACAGGGTTGTTAAGGAGGTGAAATGGGTGAAGGGTGAGTCTGTTTTTATTTCATTTATTTATTTAAGTTTTTACATCTTGATTGTTGGAAGTATTACAGATATTCCCCCCACACACACTGCTCCCCTCTTCTGTGAGCCTGTTTTTATTTTATTTTATTTTTATCCTCCCCCGAGGACATTTTTTGATATTTTATTCAGATAGAGTGGGAGGGAGAGAGAGAGAGAGAGAGAAACATCGACATGAAAGGGACACATCGAGTGGTTGCCACCCACACGACCCAACCAGGGCCAGGGACAAACTGCCAACTGAGGGACGTGCCCTTAGCGGGAACCGAACCCGGGTCTCTCCGGACCGCAGGCCAACGCTCTAACCGCTGAGCCAAACCGGCCAGGGCTGTGAGCCTGTTTTTAAACCCAGACAGGGAGCTCACCGTCTCGCAGGTGCCCTGCTCTGGTGCCTGCTGCTGCTGCGCCCACACGCCACGGGGTGGGGGGTACGTCGGAAGGAGCAGGAGATGGGCATCCCCTCTGACTCTACTGAGGCACTGACATGGGAGAGGGGAGGGGGCAGGCCTCGCAGAGCCAGGAGGCTGGAGATGCTGGGGGGACACTGGAGAGGGAATGAGAATCAAATCGAGGCCCCTCAGCCTGGGCTGGAATCCTGGCCCTGCAGATGACAAGCTGGGAAGCCTTGGCCCTCTCTGAGTCTCGCTTTCTTCGTCTTTGAACTGGGGGTGGGAGAAGTCAGAATGGTCCTTCACTGGGTTGTGGAGGGTCATTGGGATGACGTGGGTGGCGCTCCCGGCTGTCCAAGGGTCCCTCTCCTTGCTGGGGGTCACGGTATTTAGGAGGGGTGGTTGGGATGCTAATGGCAGGATTGCAGGCAGGGGCATGAGAGGGGTTTAGGGTCAGAATTAAGATTTGGGGGAGGGTGGGAGGTTTGAAAATTAGCAGTGGTCTCCAAAGTGGGGTGATACTCAAGGTGACCACTGGGGTCTCAGGATGACAATATTAGAATTCATAAAATTTTCAATCATGTTCTTTATTAACATCTGAAATTTATATATGTACATTTCATGATATCAGTTCATGATAAACCAGGATAGTAGCACATGCATACAAGTTAAAAGTAAAGAAACATAGAGGAGTGTGCTCAAAAGGTTCACTGACAGGTACTTATCAAAATACCTGAGCCTGCCCTGGCCGGTTTGGCTCAGCGGTTGGAGTGTCGGCCTGTGGACCAGAGTCCCGGGTTTGGTTCCTGCTAGGGGCACGTACCAAAAAAACCAACCAAACAAACAAAAAATACCTGAGCCCTCGGGGTCAGGGCCAGCAGGGGCTTCGAGGTGTTTGGGGGCAGGGTGTATGAGAAGGCAACAGGCCAGCACTGGGAGACTTGACTTCAGTTCTACTCTGTCCCCAACTTACTGTGTGTCCTTGGGCAAGCCACCTAACCTCTCTGAGTTCATAAAACAAGCAGAGGGGAGGTTATAAAGAAACTGGATGAGGCTCTTTCCAGCAGCTAGAGGTTGGGATTGTCTGATTCTGAGCTTTGTTCCAGGTCTCAGACAATTCTGGATTCTTGGGACTTCAAAAGTCTTCTGTGCCACACCTGAACCAGGGACTAGTGTCCTCTGTGCAAAGTTAGGGGCCTTTCTAAGCCCAGCTGCGACTCATCTGTGCTCTGTTTGCACACTCCCAGGGACGGGGAGCTCACCACCTCGTAGGGGGCCCTGCTCCCTGTTCTGTCCTAGACGAAACTGTTGTCTGCCTCCCTTTCTCTTCCCTCGTTAAAGGTGAAACTGGAAGGAGAGGGGCTGAGGAAGCAGCTTCTCTCTCAGGGCTGTTTCTTGTGGGTATCAGCCATAGGCCCCACCGCATCTGCCTTCCGCTCTGGGTTGCTTCTTCCTGGTGACACAGAGCCTACTTGGTTACCCAGGTGTAGGCGACAGCTACAGCAAGCTCCCTGTTGGGGCCTGGCACCCTGCTCCTGGTACTGCCTGACCACCCCTGGAAGCTCACGCCCACCCAAAGCAGGTTATGTTCGCTGAGCACCTATCGCCAGGCCCCAAGCTCAGTTCTTTGCAAATACAATGCAGTTCATTCCTTACTAGATCCAGTGATTGCCACTTTCCAGGTGAGAAACCGAGAGGGAAGTGACTTGCCCAAGGTCATGTATTGACCTGGATTCAAACCCATCTCCGTCTGACTCTGGAGTCCAGCTCTTCATGACTTCTCTGTGTTGTCTCTTTCCGCCCCACTGAACAGGATGTAACATAGCAGAAAGACAGACTGAGACCTGTGTCTGAGCTAAAATAACCCACACAGTCAGCAAGGGGGAAACAGATGGTGGGTGTTGAGTTGCCTGTCAGCTGAGCATGAGTTGCTGGTGCAAGGCTGCCGAGAAGCCAATGTAAATGTACCACATTAATAGAGGTAGGACACCTACTACGAGGGAGGAGATAGTCTTGTTCTCAGTGGGTGGTCGATGGTGCCCAGAGAACTGTGTGTGGTGGGGGAGGGCAGCAGGCCTGCTGCAAGGACACAGACACACAGAAGAGTCTGAGCTCCCCGTGGCTGAAAGCATTTGAATGGAGGCTTCAGGGCCAGATCCCTGCACTGGGAGGCAGAGGAAACAGGCAAGGTGACCTCCAAGGTCCTTTCCAAGTGCAGTTTTGTGCCTGGACTTCGCCAGTTTCTAGGACCACCCCAACACTCACATCCGTCAGGTGTGCCCCTCCTCCGTTATTCTCAGCAGGGTCCCCCGAGGAGACAGAGTTCATTCATCCATCTATTCATCTATTTATTCATCAAATAAAACAGCTACAGCAGTGAACACACGAGCACAGGAAACTACAGTCCAGTGGGGATAATAATAATAATAACAATAATAGAAAACGTGGACTGAGTGCTTACGATCTGCCAGCGCGTTGCTGACTTATGTCCCATTTGGTCCCACTACAACCCTGAGGCAGGTATTGTTATTGTCCTCATTTTGCAGATGGGGAAATTGACGGGTCACGAGGGATGGGTTTTGGGCGGCACCCTGGGGGGTTCATAGGTCAGATGCTCCCAGGCCTGTGTTGATGACTTCATGAACTTGAATCTCTCTGATGCCCAGATGCTGTGACTATGATCCTATGATGCTCAGTGCCTTCGTTATAAAAGGGGGTGTAGAGGAGGGACCCAGTTTTAGCCCCCACCTCCTCTTCAAGACTGACCGTCAGGGGTCTCAGTTACCACTATAATGAGAACATGGGTCCTCTACTGGAATGTCCCCATTTACTCCTCGTGATAGCCTCCTAAGGTAGCTAGTCTATTATCCTCATTTCACAGCGGGGGAAACCAAGGCACAGAGAGGTCAAGTAACTTGCCCAAGCTCACACAGCAGGGACGAGGAAAAACCACGGTCATGAGCTTGTCCAGGCCACAGCTTTATCCAGGATGCTGCACTGATCTGCCATTCCATCTCCTCCAGGACCCCTCCTACAGGCCCCTGACTGGACACCCTTGAGGAGGGACTGGGCTGGGGGGGGAACCGTGCAGACCCCGGCTGACTGATGCTCTCTTCTGCCCCCAGATCATGAGTGTCTTGCTGTTCATCGAGCACTCCGTGGAGGTGGCCCACGGCAAAGCCTCTTGCCGATTCTCCCAGACAGGCTACCTCAGGATTGGTAGGTCCCGGGGACAGGAAGGGGAAGCTGGGAAAAAAGGGGAGGGGCCCTGGCTGGTGTAGGCCTGCTGGGGTTTGAGGCCCCGCCACTTCCTCTCTTTGGGCCTCAGACCCTTCATCTGCAAATGGGGCGGCTCCACTGTCCGGACCCGGAGTAGATAGGGTGGCACTTTGCAAACCTAACAGGCTTAGAAAGACCACAGCAGGACTCTCCTGCTTACACCCTTCAGCGGCTGCCCATCTAGAAGAAAATCGTGAAACCCAGCCCCTGCTGACCTCTCGGGCCACAGTGGTCACTTGAATCTCCCTCCGGACTTCCCCCAGGCTCCTCCTGGCTCCCCGCGTTCCAGCTGCACTGACCACACCTTGTCTCAGGCCCCTGCCCGAGCACCTTGTCCCTCAGCTCACAGCACCTTCTCAGAGGCCTTCCCAGACTCCCCCTGGTTAGGCGGACGCCAGCCTGCCCCTCCTGCCCCAGCCCGGACCCTTCGTATGCCCTCTGTGTAACCTGAAATGGTCTGTTTGCATCTTCATAGCCCCGTAAGACTGAGACCTACAAGAGGACAGGTCCTAGGCGTTCCTGCTCATGGTCATAGCCCCACAGCAGTGGTTCCCAAGGTGTGGTCCTTAGCCCGGGGGTCCCTGGGGCCCCTCTGGTCCCTCACTACTCCCCCTTGCCTTTCAGCCGACCTGATCTCCAGCTTCCTGCTCATCGCCATGCTCTTTGTCATCAGTGTGAGCCTGCTGGTCGGCGTGGTCAAGGTGAGGGCCCCCTGGGGAAGGGGAACCAGGGCTTGGGGAGCCCCAACTGCCCTTCTGTCCCCCTCCCAGTCACGACCGCGTTGGGAAGAACTGGCTGCTGAGATGGTGGGAGGTGGGATTTGGGGAGACCCCACCTGCCTCCTAGAAATCATCACTGGTGACCCACATCCTCTCATAGTACAAATGGCCGCAGGGAACCTTGGTAAAGGAAGAGCCGTTTGGAGGGACGAGGAGAGGGGAGAAGGGAGTGGGTTTTGTAACCACGAGAGGAGCCAGAGCAGAGGGGAGGGTAGAGCCGTCCGGCTCAGTGCCACCAGTGAGTGGGTAAGGGGAACCATCTGTCCCTCGGCCCCAGGGAGGCAGGAAGCCGGGCCGGAGACAGCGCCCTTCCTGGGCAGACAGTGGGCTGGCCTCCCAGGGCCGTGACAGGGAGTCCGTGATTCGGTGCCAGGTTGGAACGTTTCCACCTTCATGAAACGTCACCAGCACCCCTGGCTCCTGCGCTCTCCCAGCCCTGCACCCCAGGGATGGATTCCACCTTGCTCCGGGTGGCACCCAGGTGCTTGTGCAGCAGCGCAAATGGTCCAGCTCGAAAATGCATCGGGTCATCTCTGGAGGCTCTGAGACTCCGTCTGGGTTGTTTTGACCACCACTGGGTTGCTCTGACTACCACCTGAGTGATTTTAGACAACCACATGAGAAACCAACAAAACCACCCTTTCTATGATCTTGTCCCCAGCTGTGGGGTCCCCTGCAGTACTGTTGGTCATGCTGATCACTTGCTTTCAGCTGAAGGAGTACATCAGCCTCAGCCTTTCAGGGCCTCTGCCCACGAACCTCCCCAGGAGTGCCTGAGTGCGGGAAGGCCTGCTGGTTTCAGCAGCACTGGCCTCTTCCCACCACAGGGCCTTTGCTCGTGCTGGCCTTCTGCCTCCAGTGCCCTCCCCCTTTCCCTCCTGCTTCTTTCCAGGTCTATCCTGGCATCCCCACCTCCAGGAAGTCCTCTCTGACCCCTTCTCCTAAAATGGCCCATCCTGGTGGAGTTCTTGAAAGGAAACTGAGTCAGGCCTGCTCCCCGAACCCCTGGAGCATGTATCCCTGTAGATGGGGACTGTTCTGTGTCTCCTGGAACTCCAAGGCTCCTTGCACTCAGGGCTGTGTTCTGCCTTCTCTTTGTCCCCAGAGCCTCGCTCAGAGGAAGGCATGTGACTCCGTGTGGGGTGGGAGCATTTGGGGGGGAAGGGAGCTGCTGGTGAGTGGGTGCATGGGGTCATCAGGCTGCAGGGGGAAGCGTGCAAGGGACACCCTGACCGTGCTGGGCCTGCCTTTCAGAACAGGGAGAAGTACCTGCTGCCCTTCATGTCCCTGCAAATCATGGACTACCTGCTGTGTCTGTTCACCTTGCTGGGCTCCTACGTGGAGCTGCCTGCCTACCTCAAGTTCATCTCCCGGAGTCGGTCTGTGAGTACCCAGCCCTGCCCTCGACCCACCCAGCCTGGGGTGGGCGGGGCTCAGGTGGTGACAGGGAGCCCCCAAGGCCCCTTCCTGGTTGGTGACCTTCAGCAAGTCTCTGAGCACCTCAGAGTTCCTTGTTCTGTCTGATGGGTCTGTGGCCCCATCTGCTCAATGTGCCCAGGAGTATTAAATGAGGAGAGTGTGCAGGGTGCTCACACGGGGTAAGCACCCAACAATGCTGGCGGAGGTGGGTCCACAGCAGAGGGAGGGGCACCCGCCCCAGCTCAGCCCCCAGCCCTGCTTTGTCCCTCCTTTGTAACCAAGTCTAGAGGAAGATCGTGGTCAAAGCCATGCTGAGCACCCACAGGGGTGCCCGTGACGGGTGGTGCCAGTTGTTGACGTGGCTCCCACAGCTGCTTCCCACCCTTTCCCTGACTGTTGTCTTTGAAAAGACTGGGAAGCTAGACTGGGGAAGGGCCCTGGGCAGGGAGTCAGGACCAGGTCCTCGTCCCAGGGTCTGCCACCGGCCCTTGATATGAGTGTCTGAGCACCGGGCATCCATTTCTTTCTGGGTATGGTGGACTAGGAAGGTCACTGGTACTCTCTAGCCGAGACAGCCTCTGAGGGCCCCCATGCGCCTCATTGTACTGGAGCCTCTGGTTGGGCTTAATTGCTGTCTGTCTTCCTCCTTGTCTTTGTCCTCCTAAGCACCCCTCCAAGGTCCCACTGTTGACCCTGCAGCTGCTGGACTTCTGCCTGAGCATCCTGACCCTCTGCAGCTCCTACATGGAAGTGCCCACCTATCTCAACTTCAAGTCCATGAACCACATGGTAAGTCCGGGCCAAGGGCCCACTCTCGTCACTGGCTGTGTGGCCTTGAGCAAGTTGCTTCTCCTCTCTGTGCCTCAGGCTTCGGCTGGACTGAGTTCTTTACAAGTGGAGCCTGGGAGAAAGAGTCTTTTTCATTTTTAAATTTTTTTTCTTTATTGATTTTAGAGACAGAGGAAGGAAGAGGGGGAGAGAGAGAGAGAGATGGAAACATTGATGAGAAAGAACATTGATTGGCCGCCTCCTGCACGTCCCCACTGGGAATCAGGCCCACAACCTGGGCACGTGCCCTGACCGGGAATGGAACCAGCGACCTCTTTGTGTGTAGGTTGATGCTCAACCACTGAGCCACACCGGCCGGGCTGGGAGAAGGATTCTTGTATGAGTGATTTACTGAGGGAAAGTGCTCAGGAGGAACCTTAGGATAGACCCAGGGAAGAAGGCAGACAGACACGTGTCTGCAGGAGCAGCCCGGCCTGATCCCAGGGGGAGCCCTGGAGTGTGAATTGCCCCACAGACATAATACTAATTTTTTATTGTTGTCAAACAAATTCTCCCCAAACATAGTAACTTAAAGCAATAAACAGTCATTATCTCACACAGCTTTTGGGGATCAGGGGTTTGGGAGTGGCTTAGCTGGTTGTGCGGACTCAGGGTCTCTCCTGAGGTTGGGTACATGGGCTTTAGACAACGAGGGCTTGGCTAGGTCTGAAGGACCCACCCCTAAGGTGGCTTCTCACGTGGCTCTTGGCTTGTTGCCTCAATTCTGCATTCTGCGTGCCTTCAATAAGGCTGCTTGAGCATCCTCTTGTCATGGCTGCTGGCTGTCCCCATGTGAGCATCTGAGAGGCAGAGCAAGGAGAAAACCGTATGTCTTAGAGGTCACACACATCTGCCACCTTCTATTATTTATGAGAGGTGAGTCCCTAGGTCTGGCCCACACTCGAGGGAGGGGAATGACCTCCACGTTCTGAAGGGAGGAGTGTCAAAGAATGTGTGCACCTATTTGCAAATGCCATAGAGGTCGCCCCATGGCGAGCAGCCCGGCATCCGCCAGTGAGCTGCCCCGAGGGAGGGGCGAGTTCTCAAGGATGGCAGGACTAGGAGGTTCGGTCAGGTCAGCCAGGACTGCACTCTAGGGAAGGGCGTGCCCTCCACGAGCGGGTGGGACACCACCAGGTAAGGGCCATCTGGGCAGGCAGCGGCTGCATCCGCTCACCTGTCACATGGGGCGGATGGTAAGTAACACCTGCCTCCCAGGATCCTTGCAGGATCAGCCCAGATCATGGCTGTGTCACACATGTCCCTGTGTGTGGAGGGCAGGCTTGTCATTCCTCTACCTGTGGCCAGAGGCACTGACATGGCCCCCAAATCTGTTGCAGAATTACCTCCCCAGCCAGGAGGGAATGGCGTATAATCAGTTTGTCAAGATGATGATCATCTTCTCCGTCGCCTTTATCACCGTCCTCATCCTGAAGGTGAGTGGTGACTGCTGCATGGCTCCGGGAGGGCGGAGGGCTGTCTGGCCACACACCAGGCAGGGAAGGGTGTCCGCTGCCACCTCCCTGCTCTTGGCTCTTTACTCCAGCCCTCCCCACACCAGCTCCTCTGAGCTGGGGTCCGCGGGGACACCCCATTTAAAGGGGGTGGGTCTGCAAAGACCACCTGCCATCAGGGGGCAGGGACATCATGTGTAACCCAGAGAGGCCCTGATCTAGGGAAGGAGGAACTAACTGTTCTGTCTGCATTAGATTCAGAAGGACCTGGTTTCGAATCCCAGTTCTCCCCTCACCAGCTGGGTGCTCGCTTTTCAAGTCACTTCTCTCTGGAACTCAGGTCTCCTCTGTGGCAGGGACACACTCCTTGCTTCGCCCATGTCACAACTCTGTGTGATTCAGGCACCAATATGCAGATGGGTCCTGAGGTCATATCACCAGAGGTTTGGTGATGAGCAGGAGGGCGGAAAATCATTTTATTCTTCTCTGGGCTGGTCAGACCCAGAGAACAGAGTCCAGTTTCAGGTCCCAGTTCTTAGAGAGGTGACGACAAACAGGAGGATGAAGGGGCAAGAAGAGTCTGCCATCTGAGGGAGTGGAGGGTACCAGGGCAAGGCAGCTTGGGGAAGAGATGACACAGGAGGACCCGATCCTGTCTCCAAACACTCAAAGGACTCGCAGAGGGACCCTAGAGGCTGCAACCGTGGCTCGAAGCCCCTGGGAGGCTGATGTTGACTACACAGAAGAGAGAGCTTTTAAACACGTGTTCTTATCAGGCGGTGAAAGTAACATACACTCATTGTAGAAAGTTAGAAACTACGGGTGAGCAGAGAGGACAAGCAGCCCACACCCACCAGCACCTGGGACCAGCACTCGGCGCCACCTTGGTGCATTCCTCCTGTCCTTGTCTGTGGGTATAAGCAGACGTCCCCGCCCCCTTTCACCCGGGGCCCTGAGCAGTCTCTGGCCTCACCTACGACCAACCTGGAACGGAACTTGACTCCTTTCACCTTCCCTCCAAGTCCAAGTGCATTGGTGACGCACGATGAGAGCTTTCCCGAAGGCTGGGAGAAACAGTGTGGGTTCACATCACACACGGGACAAGAGACCAACTTCCCAAACCCCACCACACCACCCCGTCTCCCTGCCCCTCTCCTCTGGGTGGGGTTCTCTCTGGGCCCCTCACTGGCCACACTCCACCTACTCGATTTCTCCCTGGCCCTTCATACTTCAGTCTTTTATAATTCATTGTCTTTATCTTGGTGCCCTCTAAGTCCCCGTCATGAGACTCCATAAAACAAGAGACCTTCCAGATGACAGGACCCCCTTTTCTTCCTTGGGGGACAGCTTCGGGCAGAAAGAGAATTTTGGCTATTTTTTTTTAATCCTCACCTGAAGATATTTTTCCATTTATCTTCAGAGAGAGTGGGAGGAAGTGAGGGAAGGGGAGAGAGGGAGACAGAGAGAAACATCGATGTGAGAGGGACATATTGACTGGTTGCTTTCTGCACGACCCAAATCAGGGCCGGGGATGAACTGCAACCGAGGCACATGCCCTTGGCTGGAATTGAACCCGCGACTCATTGCTCCCCGGGCCGACGCTCTAACTGCTGAACCAAACTGGCCATGGCGAGAATTACTGGCTATTGTTCCTTGAGCATGCCCCTGGGACTTCACGCCCTACCCTGGGGACCGTCTTCCCAATTCTTTCTTCAGCTGCTAAGAGAGCAGTCACTTACAATATCTGACCGATACATACATCTGTACATATAATTGTTTGTATTTATAAACATGCAGTACTACTGCATACACTGTTTTGAATCTGCTTTAAGTAACAACGTATCATAAGCAATTTTCAAGCGAAACTTTCCCACTGGGAGCTCTGTCTCAAGATGAGCCAGGCATTGTCAGGAGGTAGTGAGTTCTCAGTCCACAGGAGTGGGCAAGCGGGTTCTGCAGGACGACTGGCAGAGGGCGGGGTCTGCAGGACGACTGGCAGAGGGCGGGGTCTGCAGGACCACTGGCCGAGGGCCTTGAGGGAGCTCAGAAGCCCCTTCCTGTGCTGCCTGTGGGGCAGTAAGAGGGAAACACCTGGGGTACCTGGGACTGGCAGGTGGGGCACCCTTCAACCAGAATAGGGGTCTGAGCTGCAGCAGCTGGATGCTGCCTTCGGGGTGAGCTGGGGCTCCCCAGGAAGGGCCCAGCACCTGTCTCGGGCCTGCTGGGGCAGTGAGGAGGAGGGTCAGCAACCACAGTCTGACCTGGGCCTTTTCCAGGTCTACATGTTCAAGTGTGTGTGGAGATGCTACAGACTCATCAAGTACATGAACTCAGCCACGGAGAAGAGCAGCTCCAAGATGCTGCCGAAGGTGAGCCTGGGCTGGGGTTGGGGCAAGGGTGAGCTCTGCCTCTCCCCCTGTCATTTAGGGCATGTCTCTCGCCCTTGCTGTGCCTTAGTGTCTCCGCTCGTAAAATGAGGGTTGGACGAGAAGAAATGTGAAGATCTCTGATAATCTAGGGTTCTTTCATTCAGGCATGCAGTCAACATTTTCTGTCTCTCACTCTTTGCTGGCCTCATATCCCACCCTGGGGGTACAGAGAAAACTAAGATGTCACCCCATTCTAGAAGGTTGTGTAGTCCGGAGTGAATCTAGATGCAGAAATCCAATCACAACTCAGATGATGCACAGGAACAATAGGAGCAGAGGAGGCAGCTGGTCTCATCTGGGGTGTCATGAAAGGCTTCCTAGAGGAGGTGGCATTTGACCAAGTACAGCTAGCCTATACCGATTGACAGGTTAGCTGGGAACAGGGAGGGGCCTTCCAGACAGAAGGATGAGGTGCCCTTAGAAACAGCCGACTGGAGAAGTGATGGGAAAAGGCAGCTGGTTTAAATTACTTGTGGCTCACTTTCCTCATCTGTAAAATGGAGATTGCATTAGTCAAGACTTTTTTTGGTTGCAAGTGGCAGAAACCCAACTCAATCTGGCTTAAGTTAAAAAAGAGAATTTATTAGTTCACAGAACTTGTAAGTCCAATATGTCTGGCTCAGGCCTGGCTGAGTCCCGACATCCAGATGCGATCTCATTCTTCCCATCTTTCGACTCCAGTTTCCTCCCTGTTGGCTCCATTTGCAGGCAGCCCTTTCCTCATGGTGGCAAAATTGCTGCCAAAATCCCTATGTTGACATCCCATCCTCTCAGCAACCCAGCAGAAAGGAAGGCCCAGGAGCACGTCTGATTGGACCAGTGTGGGTCACAAGCCTATCCCCAAACCATTGATTACAGACAGCCAGGGGGATAAAACCCTACTTCGTCATATGTTCACCCCCTCGATCTGAAGGATGGGGCCAATTCTTCTGAAAGCACATGGACTGAGACTGTTTCCCAGGGAAAATGGTGTGTTGTAATCAAAACACAGGGGCTTGAAGCGGAATAGGCAGAGGCGAGTCTGTTCGCCACGGGAACAGAAATGGCACCTGTCTGGTGCATGCAGTGTACAGAAGGTGTGCAGTCATGCCATGCTTTATCAGAGGTGTGGTTCCTTCTGGCTAGTCACCAGTCCTCATCTTTGTGCCTCCCAGGTGGTCCTGCCATCCTACGAGGAAGCTGTGTCTCTGCCAACCAAGACTCCGGAAGTGGGCCCAGCGCCTCCCCCATACTCTGAGGTGTGACAGCACCAGGCCCCAGCGCTGGTGCTGGGGGGCGGCAGAGCTGCCTCGCAATCTACTTCTTTGCTTTGGTGGCCCCTGTGGCCTGGGTGGGCCACCCAGCCGACTTCAGGACAATCTGCTTGTGTACCCCTCGCTGGCCTGCTTTTCCCGTGGGGCCTGGGAGATGCTTACAGTTGGGTCAACCCTTTAGGCTAAATGACTCCCTGGGTCTCTCAAAGGTTCAGTTCAACATGTGGCTTATTTTGATCAGCTCTGACATTTGTTTAAACAATTGGTCATTCTAAATTCATTGAGTTTGGTTAAAAAATTACAGATTGACCAGTTTAACCAAGTGGCTGACAAATAAAAAAGAACACACTTGTCAGTTCAGTAAAATAACTTGGTCAAACTCCAATGGGTCATTGCACTGGTTTATAAATTCACAGAGTAATTTAGTGAAGTAATTATCAATTAGTCCTCCCCACCAAATCCATATGTTCAATTTCTCCAAGTCGCTTGCTTAAATAATTATCAAGTCAGCCAACCCAGTTTGCTTAGAATAGGGATTAAATTCAGTAATTAAAAAAAACTAGATTATGCCCCAAACCATGCAATTCAATCCAATCCAATAACTGGCTGCCCACTCTGGTCAATTTAGAACTTCTCAGTGGCTGAATAATTGGTAATTCAAATGAAAACTCATTGAGACGTAGCCAAACCATCATTCAACAGCTAGTTCCAGGAACTAACAGTAGTTTTAATCATCACACAGTTCCTTTGGACACACATTGTTTGGCTTAAGAGTTGTCATCGTCAGTGATCAGCCACATGTGGTTGAAACATCCACGTGTGGTCAGAGCAGTCACAGCAGTAGACTTCGTGCAATGGGTCCCTCAACTACGGTCATCTCAAGTAACGGGTCATCAGTCCATTCCACCACGCCGTTCAGCCATCGCCAATTTGGTTGTAAGTGACCCGGTTCTGCCCGATGCTTGTGGTCAAGCAGAAATTCAGCCTTGAAATCAGGCAAATCTATTTGTTGGACTAAATCCACAGGTTAATTCAGTCAAAACAGGCACACCTTTTGTGGGTGCAAACCTTGCCACGGGGGCTGGTGGTGTTGGTGCCGTAGGGAAGATTTTGGTCCCAACACCCCCTCTTTTGCTTGCTTCCCTGAGGATTGGGGTTCCTGAGGCAGCTGACCCAAAGGTGGCAATAGGGCCACGGAGGCAGGCTCTCTGGGAGTCTATTAGGGGGTACAGAGGGAGAGGGCTCTGCAAGAGGCTCCCCGCCAACACCCGCTCACAAAATTGCTTTGTGTTTGACGGGGAAGATGTTTCAATAAAGCAGCAACATGCTTCTCTCTGGCTGATGTGGTTCCTCGACTATGGAGGAGATGGGGCTCCACCCCCCCAACACACACACACACAGTTTGTTCCATCCAGCGACTCACAGGGTCCTGTGCAGCTGGGGAGTGTCATGACTGGCACTGTTTCTGATGACAAATCACGGACCACGTAAGCACCATGATGTCTCCCAGGGAAGGCGTGAACGCCACTCACCCGGAGAGCACCTGCCAGACCCAGGAGCTGCGCTGGCACTGGGGTGACTGCAAGGGCTCAGACTGGCCTCCAGGCACCCCCAGTCTAGGTAGACGATGACAGATCTGTAACCGATTATAATAGTTCGAGGAACAGCCAACACCACAAGAGGGAAAGTCTGAGGGACATCAGCCAGCCAGAGACAGCTTCCCAGAGGACCTTTCGCCAAGCGGAGTCTGGAAGATGGGTGGGCAGCAGCAAGAAACGTGGGGAGGGAAGTGCTAGGCAAAAGTAGCAGGATATGGAAGGCCCCTGTGGACGTGGGGGAGGGGAGCTGGGGTCGGGGGCTCATCTGGCTGCCAGTGGGGAGGGCTGGGAGAGGGGGCTGGGGCGGGCTGGGGGCCTGGAGCAGGAGTCTGCATACCTTAGGGTTGTTTGGCTGCAAGCCCACCCTGGCTAACTTCAGCCAAGAAGGCATTTACAGGAAGGATGATTGCAGAAACCTCAGTGAACCAAGTTTATTTTGAAAAAAAAGGTGGTCATGATGCTTGTTGGTTCACACAAAGGAAAAGCCCAGGGACTTCTGCTTCAGGTATGGTTGGACCTAGGAATCAAATTCTTCAGTTATCTCTTGTTCTCTTGCTCTGCCTCCTGCCTTGCTCCTCCCTGCCCGCAGCTGCAAGCCTGCCAAGAGCGAAGTCCGCAGAGCCCCAGGCAGTTTGAGCTGGGCTCCCTCCCTGGTACCCGGAGACCCCACGGAGCCTTGAATGTCACCCCCAGGAGTGTGGACTTATCCTGGGACAGGGGAGTCTTGGGCGGGTTTTGGGCATGGGTTACAGGGTCGGGTTTGAGTGTGGGTGTTAGGAAGGAAGAGATCCAATACAGGGTCCCCATGAAGGCTGGTGAAGTCACCCTGTGGGGAAGAGAAGGACATGGATTTGAAAGGTATTGTCAAGCTTCTGGCTTGTCACTTTTTCTTGGGGACAGTAGCTTTCTTCATAGATTCCATCTACCTTTATCAGATCCCCAAGCAACCAATCAAGCGAGGCTGTGATACAGATGGACAGCAAGCTCCCATCCACCTGGGCAGCATGGAGACCCAGAGACATCAAGTGACTTTCCTGAGACCACACAGCGGTCAGGGATTAGACCAAGTGGCTTAAAAATTTTTTATTTTTCTTTATTGATTTTTAGAGAGAGAGGAAGGGAGAGGGAGAGAGAGAGATGGAAATATTGATGAGAGAGAACATCAATTGGCCGCCTCCTGCATGCCACTGGGGATCGAGCCCACGGTCTGGGCCTGTGCCAGGCCTGACTGGAAATTGAACCAGCGACATCTTGGTGCATGGGTCGACACTCAACCACTGAGCCACACTGGCTGGGCCCAAGTGTCTTTTTATTTCCACTTCAAATGGAGGCTGTTAAGAGGGGCTGGGATCCCAGCCTGTGAGAGCTCTTGCTTCTTGTATAGGTCCATATGAAGAAGCCCATTAATGGGGACAAAGGGCAGAGGTTACCAGAGGAGAGGATTGGCCCTGTCCTCAGTCTTGCATCCTCGTCAAGAGGACAGCAAGGAGCCGTGGCTGTATGTCCTGAGGAATAGCTGGGGTGAGGCCCCACCCCCACCCCTGGCCTGGAGCCAGGAAATAGGCTGAGATGTATAGCAAGATTGTGCCCCGCGGCCAGGCTGCGGGGCGGGGGCCGGCCCAAGGAGCAGGAAATAGCTGGGCTTGGGGAAGTCTCGTGGACCGGCCAAGCCAAGCCAGCCCGCAATCCGCTGGGCAGCTCTCACCGCGGCCCTATCAATGCCCTGTTTGAGGCTCACACAGGGGTCCTTTGACGAGGCCAGGTTTGGACCCACTGAGAGGGCCTGTTTGAGCTCGCAGCCTGTAAGGAGCTGGCCCCGCGACAGAGGGACTGTGCACAGGCTGGGCAGGTGAGGGCCACCCGGATGGGCAGTCTCTTGGGGAGAAGGAAAGCCTGCAAAATCACACCCGACTGCCAGCACCTCAGCCCTCAGGCTGCGACGGGAGCAGGAATGGTCCCTGTAATTGAGTGGACTCCTCAGCGTGTCATCTCTATGACTCTCCACTGGCGTCACACACAGGTGCTGTGTGACGATTTCCTGGGGCTCAGGGTGGGCAAGCCACTCACCCAAAGTCACTGCCGGTCGAAGGGCAGAGCGGGGTTTGAGTCCAGGAGCCCTGACTGGAACCTGAGCTTGTCCCTCTCATCCTTCCTGCCCCGTGTCATCCACCTCCAAGGTGAGGGCCTGGTTCAGAACCTCGGATGCCCCTTGAACAGGGGCTGTGGCATAGTCACTGTCGTGTGCCTGGCACTGAGCACAGGCCTGGCTCCGGAGCTGTGACGGAGGAAGGGTCCGTGGTGGGAGCAGGGCCCAGACAGAGGCTGACGAGGAGGTGGCCCGGCGGAGGGATGCTGGGGACGGAACCAGGCAGTGGCCGTGCGGCTGGGTAGATTCCAGGGGCATTTGGGAAGCAGCACCTGCCAGGCCTGGGCACAGAAGGGAGGGAGGGGAGGTCAAGGCTGGTGCCTAGGTTTGGAGAACATCTGGGGGGGGGGTGCCCAGCTCTGAGCTAGGGACACAGGACGGGGAACAAAAGATATGTTGAATTTTGTTTCCATTTGAGCTGCCTTGGGGGACGCTTGATAGGGGTGCTCAGGAGACAGCTGTCTATGGGTCTGGAGTTCAGGAGAGTGAGGAAGGAGGGAGGGGGGTGTGAGTGCCATCTGTGGACACAGGAATGTGATGTCACCAGGGTTCGTGGAGGAGGTAACACATCAGCCGGACCGGTGCTGACATGCCCTCAGATCAAAGCTTTCACCTCCTTGCCCCGTCCAGCCTCCGGCTTCCAGCCTGCTGGCCACTTAGAGGGCCGGAGACCAAGACAGCACGTGTGAGGTGCGACGGACCACACAGGAGACCTCACGCGCGGGGCTGTGTCCTGAAGGGACCCTGCCCAGGACGGACAGCCCAGGGACACAGTAACAGCCGGGGGTGGGGTGTGTACTCATTCTGCAGATGGGGAAACCTGGCCCTGTGCTTATGGGCAAGTTCTCCACTTTGTGGGGTCTCTGCTGACTGTTGGGGAGACCAGAGATTCGTATCCAATCAGGCACCCTGGGAACGTCTCCAGTTTGCAAGGAGTTGGAAGTGTTAAGAAAAGCAGTTCCCAGGTTAAAGGAAGTTGGGAAGGACCCACCCTTGGGCCCACCTGGGGTTTTTGGGTGGCACCTAAGAAGCAGCCACTGTGGGTCTCTGCGGCCACAGGCCGCCCGCCACCCGCCACCCGCCAGACGGGCTCTCTGGGAGGCAGCTCTCCCTCTCGAGTCCCTCCTGGGACTCCAGGAGGAAGCCTGTCTAATTGGCCACCGAGAGTGTCCGACAGGCAGCGGGCTTGGCAGAGAGCGGCCAGCACCGGGGAGCTACAACCCTCAATAAACAGTCCACCTGGTAAACAGTGTTGCTGCCGCCCCGGGGGCCGGTGGTCAAGCAGGACACTGGCCTCGCAGCTTCCTCCGCTCCACCTGCTGGGGGCTCCGGCTGGCAGACAGCCTGGGCCACGCCTGGGCCAGGACCACATGCGGGAGGGGGCTCCAGTCTGGGAACTGGACTTTCGATAACTCACAGCTTACACCACCACAGACATGTCCAGCCTTGGCCTTGACAGGGCCAAGTTGCTGAAATGTTATGCGTTGGTGGAGCTGAGTTCCTATCACGGGCCTTGGGAGAAATGAAGGTGCTCGTTCTAAGTGCTTCAGGTGGGACAGGGGCGGGAACATGAGCGTGCCCGGGGTGCGGGGGGAAAGGGTCCAGTGTTCCTGGGGTTGGACATCGCACGAAAGCTGGAGGCGAAGCAACCCTGCCAGCAGTCCTTGGCTGCCGGTGGTCTCTCCGTGAGTCAGCAGGGCCAGGCCTGGCTCCGGGGTCCCCAAACTCCACAGGGCGCTTTCCCAACACCTTCGTCGCTGAAGGCTTCCAGAGGGAAGGGCCTGGAGAGGGACTGAGAGCGGACCCAGTGGGCCGTAGTCGGAGTGTGTGAGTTAGCACCGGTCTTACCCCAAACTGGAGAAGGCTGCATTTCCTCGTCAACACCCCGGCTCCTCCCTCCCTCCCCCCACGTACACCACTCGGGGAAGGCAGAATTCTAAGATGCCTTCCATGACCTATGGCCTTGTATAGCTCTCTCTTCTTGAGTGTGGGTGGAGCCTGTGAATCTGACAGGACAGTCACTCTGGGGATGAGGTTAGGATACGTGGCACAGCTAACTTCAAGAAAGGGAGATTCTCTTGGGTGAGCCTGACCTAATCAGGTGATCCCTGAAAAGGGACTGGGCTCTTCCTGAAGAGGGGGATCAGCACAGGAGGGATTTGAAGCATGAGGAGGCCTTGGAGGACACCACATGGCAAGGAACTGTGGGTGGCTCTAGGGACTGAGTGGCCCCTGGTTAACAGCCAGCGCTGGGTGGCGGAGGGGGTTTAGTCTCACATCCGCAAGGAACTGAATTCTGCCCATCACCGTGTGAGCTGGGAGGAGGCCCCTGAGCTCACAGGAGAACGCAGCCCAGCTGTGCCCAGACTTCTGACCTACAGAAACCACGAGCTAACACATGGGTGCTGTTTCAAGCTGCCGACTTTGCAGCCATTTGTTACATAGCAATAGAAAACGAAAGTATCACTTCGTCCCCATTTGGAGTTTTATTTTTTTCCTCCATGAACGTAGAAGTGGCAGCGGCAGCCATAGTCCTGACTCTCTGACATCTTGGTCAGGGCAGGCCGAGTTGGAACTGAAGGATGAAGCAGGCTGGACACTGTTCATGCATCTTCATG